CTGGTGACATCTTCCCCGAGTTTGTTAGTTGGCTGAGGGTGACATCTTCCCCCTAGTTTGTTAGCTGGCTGAGGTGACATCTTCCCCTAGTTTGTTAACTGGCTGAGGTATCTTCCCCAGTTTGTTAGCTGGCTGAGGTGACATCTTCTCCCGAGTTTGTTAGCTGTGGCTGGGGAAGTGACATCTTTCCCCAAGTTTGTTAGCTGGCTGGGGGTGACATCTTCCCCTAGTTTGTTAGCTGGCTGAGGGTGACATCTTCCTCGAGTTTGTTAGTTGGCTGAGGGGTGACATCTTCCCCTAGTTTTGTTAGCTGGCTGAGGGTGACATCTTCCTAATTTGTTAGCTGGCTGAGGTGACATCTTTGAGTTTGTTAGTTGGCTGAGGTGACATCTTCCCCCCGAGTTTGTTAGCTGGCAGAGGGGTGACATCTTCCCCTAGTTTGTTAGCTGGCTGGGGTGGCATCTTCCCCGAGTTTGTTAGCTGGCTGAGAGTGACATCTTCTCCCGAGTTTGTTAGCTGGCTGAGTGACATCTTGCCCTCCCTGTGGTTTGTTAGCTGGCTGAGAGTGACATCTTCCCTAGTTTGTTAGCTGGCTGGTGACATCTTTCCCTAGTTTGTTAGCTGGCTGAGGTAACATCTTCCCCCTAGTTTGTTAGCTGGGTAGGGAGTGACATCTTCCCCCTAGTTTGTTAGCTGGGTGAGTGACATCTTCCCCCAAAGTTTGTTAGCTTCAGCTGAGTGACATCTTCCCCTAGTTTGTTAGCTGGCTGGTGACATCTTCCCCCTAGTTTGTTAGCTGGCTGAGGTGACATCTTCCCCCCTAGTTTGTTAGCTGGCTGAGGGTGACATCTTCCCCAGTTTGTTAGCTGGCTGAGGTGCCGAGTTCATGTATCAAATGACTTTAGTTCTTCCCCCGTGACCACGAAAGGATTTGTTATTTTATCAGTAAACCCCAAAATATCCTGAAGATGGTGAATGTTCTCAATAATACGTAATTGAAGATTAAACGAATAGAAACAACTTAGCTCTGAGAAAAGGAAAAAGTTATGCAAGTAAACTTAAACAAGCGCTGGGTAGACTCAGAAATAACCATTGAGTAAATCCAAACAAAGCAGTTAATGACCTTTCCTTCTTGGGGGTAATCAACCCATCAGCTTTTAAGAGAATCAGAACAGGTTTGACCAGCGACGAGGGATAAGCAGACCCGTCAGGTTAGGCAAGTTTGCACCAGCCTCTCAACTACGTCATAATCATCCCCAGCCAACAACTTTTACTCACTCTAGCGGCCAAACAGAAAGTGGTCGGTACCCCCCCTCCGTTTACAGCATAACACAAATGGATTATATGTAAAAAAAAGTTGTCTGTGGTAATTTTTTCACTGGCAGGACTATTTTCTGTGATCGTTTGTGTGACCGTCCATAGCGTCTTAGCGACTGGCTAATAGAAGCACTGCGGTGATGATGACTCGATGCGAAAAACTTCCAAGGCTGATCTAGCAAAGTTGTTGGGGGTTGTTTGTGATGAAATTCACACTGACAAAAGTTCTCGGTGAAAAAAGCTACTGCTTACATTATCGACAAATCTCAAATGAATCACTTTTCAAGACTTTTGATAACCTATTAGAAGATATTGAAAAATGATCCTACATCCTAGAAGACAATCAACGTAGTTGACAGTTACAGTTGTTTTTGACCGATATGATAAGCCAAACTCAATAAAGCAAACAGAACGACAACACAGAGGTGCTGTTGGGATCACACACACTCATCGGTAACTGTCTTATGTAATGTCCTAAATTACCGTCTTTCTTTGAAAGGACCAGCCAACAAAGCTGCCCTTGTTGCCTTTGTCAGTGATTCTGTCATCACCAAATCCCTGTCTCAGGATAGAATGTGTAAATCCATCATTCTTCCTGGGGTCTTCGCCAACAGAGACAGTGAAGTGTGAGGAGGTCTGGTGAGGTCCTGCTGGAAATTTTTCTCCACACATGAAGAAGCAGACCCACGTGTTGTGCTGCGTGCCATTGACTTTGCCAAAACTCACCACAGGACTATTGGGTGGTGTAATGACCAGAACATTCCAGTTATCTTACTGTGTTACTACAGCAAGATGCTTCTCTCTCCTGAAGTACAGTATACATGCACGCTGGGCACTCGAGAAAATCCCTCACACGAGAGCGGTACATAACTGTATATACTATCGTGGAAAAGCTTGACAAACGGGTGTCAATGTGCCTCCCTGCTGTACATGCCCTCACCGGTTGTGACAGTACCAGTATATTCTTCAAGACTGTGAAACGTACTATGCCCAAAACTCTGACTAAGCACATAGACATGGTGTCAGAGCTCTCTGAATATGGTTTGTCACTTTCATTAACCAGATCGTATAATGTCGGACGATTTTTCTTGCCCCAGCTGTGCGGACCAAAAGGAAAGCAGTGCAACACTCTAGATGAACTAGGATATACAATATACTCGCTTCCACAACAAACGGGCAAGAAGATGCTTTCAACCAACAGTTCTCCAGAGCCGTGTTACAGGCATCAGTCTGGTGTCAAAGTCACAAAGCGAAACCAGAGGTAGCAGATCCTGTAGGTCATTGCTGGATAAAGACTGTAGAGGGACTTGTAATGTTTAACCGGGAATGTGCACCAGTACAGATTGGTAACCTCACTCACCTTTAATGTACCGACAGACTGTCTTGTCTCAAGGAAATGTTTTGTCTGCTGGCCGGTCTGCCGTGCACTGAAGAGGAGTTTATGATACATGTAGGTGCCCAAACAGCCCAGACTGTGTGTGTGTGTGTTGTCTCTGTGTTGCTTATGAACCAATGTGATGCACTTGACTAAACATGTGTTGGGATGTACAGTACTTTTACAAACATGGTTGTCTGTTTTTTCTAATTTGTTTTTTCCAAGAAGAAGAAAAAAGAAAATATTTTACTACCAATGACCCAATGTAACCTACTTAACCTAACCTAACCTACAGCCAGGCCAAAATACCCAGCAGAGGATGACATACTCGAGGTTCACATCAAACCAGTTTTTTCTTCTGATAATAGTTATTGGTGAGGGGACAGGTTAACCTTGAGCGAGGTTTACCACCCACACACACCCACACACACACACACACACACACACCCACGTCACTACGGTAAACACTGTTGCTGACACTTGTAAGGTGTGTGTGCGTGTGTGTGTGTGTCATAGATATCATTCTTGCTTATCCACCTCCTCCTGTTCTTTACATCACCACTAAACACCGCAAGACAGCCACTGTCCCCGTGAAGGGTCGAGAAGGAAAATGAATAAACAAAACAATTGACTATCAGAAGCAACTCTTACGCTGGCAAGAGGCTGTTGACGCCCAGTGTATCGTTAAGGTGGAGAGTTACAACGACTCGAGGACTATCTGACCAACAGGGCACGCGCAGTTAATGGCGTTTGTTATGTAAAGAGAAAACAAAGATTAAATAGATATTATTTATTTTATATTAAACTAAACCCAAATGTGACCTTAGCTCTCTTCCTCCTCTTCCTCCTCTATCCTCCTCCCTTCTTCCCTTCCTCTTTTTACTCCTCTTCCCTCCTTCCCTTGTCTTCCTTCTCCTCCTACCCTCTCCCTCTCCTCTTCCTCCTCTCCTACTCCTCCCCTCATCTCCTCTCCGGGAACCAACGAAAAATAAATTATGATCATTATATCACCTTTATTGATGTTCCGTGGTCTTGAGTCCGCTGGTGGAGTGTATGTATGTATGTGTGTATGTATGTATGTATGTATGTATGTATGTATGTATGTCATGTCACTGGTATTAAGATATTGTTACATGGAGTATTATATCAAGTGTTTTCTCTGACCTTCACCCACATCAGATAATTTTTTTCTTCCAAGATCACGATTTGATTTACCATGAGTCACGTTGGTCGCAGTTGTTGGTGAGAGCTGTTGAGGAGGCAGGTGGGAGTACAGTGAGGAATTTAAATGTTAGGTTGGCTTTACATATGAAGGGTTTGTCTCTATGTTTGTTTCTGTCTCTCATACTAGTCCCTCAAGAGTACTTAAACACGTTCTGGGAGTTACAATAGCTAATGACGTCACGAGGCGCCTAGTGACGTCACGATGATCACAGAATAAACGCGAGTGGAAGGTTTTGTGTGGGTGACTCGCTGAACTTGTGGGTCGCGCAGTACCATAGATACAGGTCAGATTTTAAGTGGATTTATATAAGCGTTTTTGTAACATATTGAGGATTTTTGTTTAATACATAAAAGGTTTCACTAACTCTACGTTTGTGGTTAACTTCAAAATCGCATCTATATTTTGTGTTAATACTCAAATATGCTCTATGAGTGGCCTGTTGATATAAAAAAATCACCCCTAAGTGGCCTGTTGATATAAAAAAAATCCTCTGAGTGGCCTGTGTTGGTAGTAAAGAATATCCTCAGTGATTCCTGTTAGGTTAGGTTCCTTGAGAGATTATTGAGTTGATACTTAAATGAATAAAGGTCTAAATTTGGCCATTGTGTTGTTGATGTCCGTGGTATGTTGTGGGTGTGGCTGGTGTTGTTGTGGGTGTGGCTGGTGTCGTTGTGGGTGTGGCTGGGTTGTTGTGGGTGTGGCTGGTGTTGTTGTTGTTTTACAGGAATTATCGCTAATATTACCGAATCTGTTTCCCTGATAATATAATCATCGCCGTGGGTGTTGCTAAATCATTACCGGCGGGAGGTTCCTAAGGTCGCGGTCGCCCCTCCAGACTGTGAGGGGGACCTTCCCACCTTGTACACGAATGCCAGTCACCAATTTTCTTTCACCCGATATTCTTATAATGTGACTGGTTCGCTGTCACTGTATGTGTGTTAATAGTTCAGCGTACGGAGAGGTATTTCTGGTGGTAGCACAGATCACCAACCGTCTATTTATACAATTCGCAAAATCGACAAGCGGCAGCGTGTTAGGCTGCCAGATTAGTGAGAAAAATCATAGGTCCGCGCCAGCTCACTCACCGCCGTGTGTTAGCGAGACTCTTTTAGTCAGTCCGGCGGTAGTGTGAGAGACTTAAAGACTCTCAGTGTTTCCGGTGACACCTGTGAGCGAGTTGTCAATCTGTGTCATAACCCACGACCGGTGACACAAGACAGGAAATGTCCCAAGGACGCAAGTGTGAGTGTGGAGGTGTTGGGTGATGACCCGCTAAGTCAGTCGGGGGTGGACCACAGTACAAGCAACACTAGCATCATCTGAGCTCTCTCTCTCTCTCTCCCTCTGACCCCACGTGCTCTACACTATGCTCACTTCAGAAAACAGTAATTAATAATATGGTGGACTTTTCTTGAACTGTGTAATAAACAATACTACATCAACGCGTAGAAAAGGTACTTGTTTATCCTCGAAGGGACCCGAGTGTGTGTGTGTAGTACAAGTTAAGAAACTTTATTAAAAATGGAATTCCGACAGTCCTTACTGCTGTGTGTGGCGTACGCGCTGTTCCTCATCCTAGGTGCTGTCATGTTCATGTTTCTGGAATATGAAGTGATAGAGACAAGAGATGTGATCGAACCCCGAGAGTGGAGTAACCTCAAAGGTAAGTCAGCCAGCCAGCCATACTCATAGTTTACTCTAACAATGTGTAGTGAAGATGAATGTTTACACAAGCTTCTAATGACCACATTTTAAAACATAACATCGTGAAAACAAACTTAGAACGATAAAAAAAACTGTGATATAGCGAAAACTTTCTCTCCATATGTGTGGTCGAAGTGAAATCCTCCCAACCTCTCGGGATGATGAAACCTTAGAAATATGAAGGATTATGAACACACACACACACACACACACACACGCACACAGCCAGCTGGTTACCCTTCACTATTACGTCCCGAGTTCAATCCTGGGTCTGATGTGAGAAGGGTGTTATGACTTAGGGACTACAACTTGATTTCTTCAGGTGCTGCTGTGTGTTCCTGTACTAACTCTCACCCTTGAAGGACAAACTCATCAGGAACAATGAAGGCAGTCAATGAGCTTCTTCCTTCAACAAAAAAGTAAAAAAAAAAATACAATGAAAAAAAAATAAAAAATATTATCTTTTTACTGTACATTTACACAGACGGTCATGCATGTAAATAAAGCAAATAAAATATCTATATACATTTACGTCGATGTAAATGTATCTAGATATTTTATGGAAAGAAAGTGTAAATAAAAACGTCCAAGATTTATTTACGTAGGTGAGGACGCGGCCATTAGATAAATCGTCTGGCTGCCTCTGACCAATACTGTGAGTGACGAGCAGAACACCTGAAGGTCAGTGATGATTACCCCTGACTCACCTGCCGTACACACCTGTCCTCATTGCTCTAACTCACAATACTGTTACGGCAAACTCAACCATATAGTGATACCTCTATTTAACGGACTACATGGAGAAGAAAATCCGTTATATCGAGGGTCCGTTAGGTGTGATACCTCTATTTAACGGACTACATGGAGAAGAAAATCCGTTATATTGAGGGTCTGTTAGATGTGATACCTCTATTTAACGGACTACATGGACAAGAAAATCCGTTATATCGAGGGTCCGTGAGATGTGATACCTCTATTTAACGGACTACATGGACAAGAAAATCCGTTATATCGAGGGTCCGTTAGATGTGAAACCTTTATTTAACGGACTACAAAAGGGGTTAATATTTCTTTAGTTGACACACAGTTAAAAGACATTTTTTTAACTTATTTTGTCGTGAAAGAGAAAACATTTCATGGAGGAGCTACATTTCAAAATCGTCCAATAGTAGTTGAACAGTCCCCCACTAAAGTCCTGTCGCCTCTCCTTCTGAACCACGAACCCCTGAGCAGTAGAGTAATATATTATTCTGTCCATAAATGCTTCAGGTTTATGAGTCAGAATCTCTCAGGGGTTCGTGGTTAAGGAGGAGAGGGGACAGTAGGGTGCACAGTGACCATCAGCACGAATATAAAGCGGTGAACTGAAGCTTTTTACTACACGAAATATTTACGGTATACGGAAGTTCCACGGTGCAAAAAAGTTCCACAATGCACAAAGATGCCAATGGTGTGCGAAAGTTCTACGAGACAAAAAAAAGTTCTACGATAAGAGAAAAGATAAAGGGAAATGAAGAGAGACATTATTACCTCCTAATAAAATAAAATAAAAGATGTTTAAGGTGATCCTGATCCAAATTATCATCTTGTTTTTATCCGTAACGTAAAAGCACCGTCATTAATCACCTACACTCAGTAAACACTCTCTCTCTCTCTCTCTCTCTCTCTCTCTCTCTCTCTCTCTCTCTCTCTCTCACACATACTAGCGTACCTACAGTCAGTTCTTAAGTTTCACCTGACAACTGCATCTTAAAACACTAGACATCTTGATATTATTTAACAACTCAACTTTTCTTACTATTTATCAAAGTAATCATATCAACTTTTATTTTAATATTGTCTCTCTGTACAACTGATTCAAACATTCTTTCATAATGATCCCAAATGTAATCAAATATTTTATCTCAATCATTTAATTCCATCAGCATTCACTTAAGCCCTGAAGACTCCTTGACCGTCGAATAGACAACCACAGACAGCTTAGTGTGTGTGTGTGTGTAACTTTTAAACTTAATTTAAACTTCTGATATTAACTTTATATTCTGTATTTTACGCCCCTGAGTTTAAAGTATAAATTTTAAGAGACTTTAAGTACATAATGTAACTTACTTTGTGACGTGTAACAGCTGGTGGAGTTAAAACACATCAAGTCAGATTAGTGTTTACACAAGCCGTACACAAGTCACGTTGGGGCTAATAGTTCAATTACTAGTTATGGAGGCTAGTTAAAAGGTTCGTTTTGTGTTGTTAAAGAGGATATAAAAGACAAAAACACGTCATGGTTGTGGTGTTTGTGAGAGGGATGGAGCTGATGACTTTACGCAACCATGATTCATCTTCCCTTACTGATGTTATCATCCATCCAGCACAGATGACCTTTAACACGCAACATTGGTAAATCTTTCATATGGTTTTTGTTCTTATAAGGTGTTGGTGCTGCTGTAACCCGCTAAACACACATTATATAATTCATTTAGGATATAAAAAAACATAGCTGCATAATGTACGAGAGTGTGGTCTAAACATTATGCACTGCAAAAGTTTTGTTTCAGTGTTGTTAATGTACTGTAACATCTACCGCCATCTATACACTATGTTGTCTGTATTGTCATTCCCTCGATGAAATTACACACCTAACACATGTGTATCTACTCAATCATTCTCTACACGTAAACTGTGTTGATTACTGAGCCCATCCTCTGTGGCTTAAATTTACAGGTCAAATTAATTAAAAAGACTACATCATGGTCGGCCGTGGCACATTCCTTAACATTAGTACATCATGGTTGGCCGTAGTGCATTTCTTAACATTAGTACATCATGATTGGCCGTAGTGCATTTCTTAACATTACTACATCATGGTTGGCCGTGGTACATTTCTTAACATCAGTAATTACAGTAGGGGATACGAATATTGTTTAAACTTCCTCATTATACAACTTTACTACCCGGTAAATGTCTCAGGGAGCGACTGACACCACTGTACGATATAAGACACGAATTATTACAAAGCTTCCAGTGTGGCTCAATATTGTGTGACGCGGCAGCTGTCACGCTCACGCCTCATCCCACACCTACCAACTCACACCCACTCATACCCACACTCACACCCACTCATACCCACACTCACACCCGCTCTCACAATGCCTCAACACAAAATACGTCATTATCTGATTATAAAAATGATCAAAACAAAAGAATGTGATAAAAAAATATACACTGATAAAACTTAATGAAACTGAGATATTGTATTGACTCTAATTATAGAAAACAGACATGACTTAATAAAAACATTAAACACGATTTGAGACGACGAAGTGAGTTTATGGAGAGAGTTGAATGCAGCCTCAGTTCCACCTAAGGAAAATTTATCACACAGCGTACAGTAACAACAATGAGTGACCTTGTATGACGGAGGTTGCTGATGTAGTGAGAGGCTCGTAGTTCCTGTGTTTATATAAAAATTTAGGACTGGTAAAAAAATATACGTTGATAGGCGAACTAAAACAAATCTTATAAATGTATGTTTCCCAGGGGATTTACTTCCAGTTTTCATTCATATTCCAGGATACAATGCGCTTAACCTTTAAATTAACAAGTGTGAAATATATACAGTATATTACCTAAGACTTAATTATACAATGTCTTATTCCACACAACACTATGGTAAATTAAGATAGAGTACTCGAGGGATTAATATATCGTACTCAAGAGGTTAAGATATCGTACTCAAGGGATTAAATGTACGTAGGGGGGTAAATATAACACTGAGATATATATAATATTATTCTAAGATAATCAATGTTAGTTATCTGTTATCCTATTAGTTTGAGATTAATTAACGAGATGAACTATTATTCCCCCATGACAGATATGGTGATGCAGGACCCGCCCGCCAAACAAGACGAGCTGGTCACCCTTGCTCTGTGGGTACCTAAGGCCTGCCGAGCTGTGTCCAATTATACCGTTCAGTCCCTCCTCAGTCCAGGTAAAGTACACATTGTCTTCTTCCTCTTCCTCCTCCTCCTCTCTCTCTCAGTCCAGGTAAATTATACGTTGTCTTCGTCCTCTTCTCCTCCTCTTTATCCCAGGTAAACTACAACTATTCGCTTGAAAAAATACAAAATAAAGCACTCAGAATTATCCTAGGAGTCCCATGAGCACTAAAGTACTTAATATGAGGAAAGAACTAGGTATACCCAGTGTTAAAGATAGAATAATTGAAGTCAACCTCATGATAGCCCTGAAGCTTCTGCGTGGTGATCCTGATAACATTGTTTCCTTAAAATTGCTAGAATGTATGAACCATGGGACTGGTAAATCTAAATGGATCCAAAGTACAGCTACACACATGAAGATGTTTGGACTAGACCATCTGTACAAGGTTGAGACACAACAGCGCTTCCTGCTACCCTGGCGGACAGTTCCCTTCGATATCACAACACCCACGTACCCACCTACACGACTGACCACACATAATCCCTATCTCCAAAACACTGCCAAAGTGTGTGGCCGGACATATAGCCACACGAATCCACGAAAAAAAGTCACGAGGAAAAAAGTTACAGAAAAAAAGGCACGGACGAAACCTAACCTAACCTAACCTACGCGCAATGCTATCATATATATATATATATATATATATATATATATATATATATATATATATATATATATATATATATATATATATATATATATATATATATATAAATATATATATATATATATATATATATATATATATATATATATATATATATATATATATATATCACTGTAGGTGCGTGATCTAGGTATATGCTTGTGGTTATCAGTATATATATATATATATATATATATATATATATATATATATATATATATATATATATATATATATATATATATATATATTGTGTTGTCAATGTGGACAAGTCATGTGACTTTTTACCTGTGACTTTATTTCCGTTCACCGGCCACACACTCCACCACTACGTCCTAGACTGTGAAAAATAGAATCTTATAGAGATAGATCCAGGCACACTGTGTATACAATGGCACAGCACTTTATCTCTGATGACAAGATAGCTGATATATTAAGGCTGTATCCACACTTGGCATCTAGTACCTAATCAAAATTCTATGTACCGACTTAAACAAACAATGTACTGGAAATACTCTGTAGCATTTACTGCCATAATATCAAAGCCACTGGGGTCTGCTAAACACCCTTTGTGGCCTCTCCTCTGTAATCCTTTTTGCGCTACCGCTCACAGGATGAGTATGGGGTGCACAATAAACTAGCTGCCGTCCTCTTCCTCCTATGTAATAAACCGGCAACTGCAGGTGTGACTCAAAAGCAATTAATAACAGGTGACAAAATGTTGGGAACTTGGAGTAATGTCAGGGCAGTCCGCAGTGTGTGAGGGGGTGGCAGTCTTACCGCCTCGCCTCAGTATGATGTTATCGATCAACCTCGAAGGATTTTTTACACTCTCTCCTGCACTGCGGTACTTCCCTCTCCGGTACTTGCCACTGTAGTGTTATGATACTTCCCAAGTGCGAGTCAATGTGGTACTTCCCAGGTGTGGTAATAAGGGTCAGTCCTGGATTATGTTTGACTTCGATGACCCAACCACCACCACCACCACCACAACCGTCATCACCACCACCACCACCACCACCACAACCGACATCACCACCACCACCACACCACCCGACATCACCACCATTACCACCACCACCAACAATACGAAATCTCTCTCTCTCTCTCTCTCTCTCTCTCTCTCATGGAGGCAGTGACTGTCCCACGTACCTCAGGAAGTCACACACAAGCAGAGAGGTGAGAGGGAAGGTGAGGAGGGAGGGAGAGGGTGAGGGAGAGAGAGGAGTGAGTGGGAAGATGGGAGGTGAGTGGGTGGGTGGGAGGGAGAGAGAGAGAGAGGGGTGGGAGGGAGGGAGGGAGGGAGGGTGAGAGGGAGAGAGAGGACAATGCAAGCAACTGGGAGGGGGAAAAGGAGGTAGTGTTGGAGGAGGAAGGGGGAGAGTGTTGGAGGGGGAAGGGGGAGAATGTTGGAGGGGAATGTTGGGGATCAATGCATTCGTCTGGTCATTGTCCTTGTGGTTCCAGGGATCATGGAGGGAGGGTGAGGGAGGTCATGGGAGGTAGAATGTGGGTGAGAGAGGTCGAGGAGGTAGAGTGAGGAGGAGGGATGAGGGAGATGAGAGAGAGACATCATGGAAGAAGGAAACAGATCAGTATTATAAGATAAATAGAATAATTTACATAATATATACAAACACCTGAAGGTCATTATCTCACGGGGGGAAAAACTCGAGAAAATATGTTACATCTTTAGTGTCCGGAGAGGAGATGCGGTGGCTGAGAAAACACATCACTCACCTCCCGTCCTAATGTTCTCTGGTTCGATCCCTAAGGTAGTAAACAGTCCACTCAGCTATAGACTATACCGAAGGCTCAGTATATAGTCTGTATAGCCACAGTGTATACCTATAGGAGCCATTTTGACTTCTATAGTGGGCGTTATATAGGGAATCTTGCCCTTCATAGATGGTGATTTTAGTCCATTAGGTTACGCCTCTGAGGGAACAATGTCATGTGTACCTACCCTAACACACACACACACACACACATACACACACACACACACACACACAATCTCTACATCACATCTCGGTGGTGGTGATGGTGGTAGTAGTGGTGAGGTGTGGTGGTGGTGGTGGTGAGGTGTGGTGGTGGTGGTGGTAGTGGTGGTGAGGTGTGGTGGTGGTGGTGGTGGTGGTGAGGTGTGGTGGGTAGTGGTGTGTGGAGGTGGTAGGTGGTGGTGGTGGTGGTGGTAGGGGTGGTGGTGGTGGTGGTGGTGGTAGGGGTGGAGAGGTGTGGTGGTGGTAGGGGTGGTGAGGTGTGGTAGTGGTGGTGGTAGGGACTTGGTGAGCTACGGGACGTCATTACACCACAAGAGCGGTAGACAAGACGCGGGGTTGAATCAACACATCCACGACAAACTCGTCTCCAGATTATGACCAATTGAAAGTGTCCCATCCCCCCCCCCTTAACCCCCTCGTGCGTCATAGTGCCTTATTGTGGTCAGTGCCAAGACGCCGCCACCCCAGACCTGTTGCCCACCCATCCACTAACACACCCGCCCGCCCACCCACTAACTTACTCGGGTTCTCTGATTTTTGTTAACTTTAACGTCGCTGGTGTGTGTGTGTGTGTGTGTATTATCATAGGGTAAACTAGGTCACCTGGCGCGGTATATTAACCCCAAACAAATTTCACCTCGAGACAAAATTTTACCTTCATGCAACTTAAAGAAATCCTGTACTGCAAAATAGTAATGAAATATATTCCTTATACTTTAATTCAATCATATTTAATGTATCGTTTAAATATAATAAAGATAGGATATAGTTAATAGTTAAACGCAATATTAATTTAAGTATAGATAGAGATGCAGTCAGTCATTAATGATCAATAAAACTCTATGTCCGTTTATCGTCTTATAATTATATAACCTGAAGCAGCACACGGAGTCACTGAGGCGAGGTGGTGGTAGTGATAGTGGTGGTAGTAGTGGTAGTGGTGGTGGTGACGGTGTTGGTCGTAGTAGTGATGGTGGTAGTGGAGGTAGTGGTGGTAGTGGTATTCGTGGTCGTAGTAGTGGTTGTAGTAGTAGTAGTAGTAGTGGTGGTGATAGTAGTGGTAGAAGTGGTAGTAGTAGTAGTGGGGGACCAAGACTGGGAGGGATGGGACTAACTAATCCAGAGGAGATTGCTGACTCTGAACATCAAAATTCACTTAAGCTCACGGCAGCCCTCACTGACCACATAATAGCCCAGAATGCAACAGGGGAAGTGGACACCAGCGAAGTTAATAAGATCCGTAGGTCCATTACAACAGATCGGCAGCACTGCCAAAATGACATGTTGCAGCAACTATTGCTGCTGGTTCCAGAAAATTTGACAAAAAAAGTAGCTATAGCGCAGGAGGTGGGCGCCTCGAACTGGTTAACTACGTTACCGATAAGGGCAAATGGTTTCAGCCTTAACAAACAAGAATTTACAGATGCCATTGCTCTAAGGTACGGTTGGCCAGTAGATGGTTTGCCCTCCCAATGCGTGTGTGGCTATTCCTATGATGGTGATCACGCCATGGTTTGCAAGAAGGGGGGCTTCATATGCATGAGGCATGACGAGGTAAGGGATCTCACAGCAAATATGTTGAAGGAAATCTGCCGGGACGTCATGGTAGAACCGACCCTCCTTCCACTGGATGGCGAGATCTTCCAACACAGGACTTCAAACACATCTAACGAAGCCCGTGTGGACGTCAGTGCTCGAGGATTCTGGACGCGGGGACAGCGAGCTTTCTTCGACATCAGGATTTTTGATCCCATGGCCGTTTGTCACCGTAACCTAGCTCTCGATGCTGCGCATAGGAGGAACGAGAACGACAAGAGAAGGGCATATGGGGAGAGAATTCAAAATGTTGATCAAGGCAGCTTCACTCCTCTAGTGTTCACAACCTCTGGTGGGATGGGCCCAAGTGCAAGATGTTTCTACGCCAGACTCGCGGAGCTGATCTCCGAACAGAAGCAGCAGCCCAGAAGTTATGTCACAGCCTGGATGAGATGTCGACTGTCCTTCTCTCTCCTTCGGTCGGCTTTGCTCTGCCTCAGGGGAACGAGAGCTTCTGCCCCTACTCCGACAACTGCTGCAGATATCGACTATGAGGCTACAGTCACCGAATGCCGCATGGATCTGCGGCTCAACTAATTTAACACAGATAGGATAGTTTCTTATGTATTAGGATATTTAATATTAAGGTAAATAAATGGTGGCGAAGGTGTGGCTATTGGGGGAGGCTGGAGGCCACGTGGTGGTAGTAGTGGTGGTGGTAGTGGAGGTAGTGGTGGTAGTGGTATTCGTGGTCGTAGTAGTGGTTGTGGTTGTTGTAGTAGTAGTAGTGGTGGTAGTAGTGGT